ATAGTATATGTATTGAATACCTTTTCAGTCCATTCTTCAAAATAATTGATGGAGGCCATTAGGCTGAGACGACTCCAACACCTTGGGTAGAGCAAAGTGAAACTCAACAGAATTGACAGTTATAGTCTAGGAGAATGAAACTCATGCTTAACCAATCAGTGACCACCAACTATGCTCTAACCAGATACTTCACAATCAAAATTTACCAACTAATCTAACTCTGGGCTTTCTACCTTAACCACTCAAATATTTTCTTTAGCTTCTGAGAAAATCTTATATTTTTCCTTCATGCTTCTTTAATGGAGCCCAACCACTCGTGGTTTGGTGCTGTCTGATCCATGAATCACTGGCTGCTTAAATAAAGTCTTTAAAAATTTAAGGCACCCAAGTTTATCTTTTAATTATATTCTTCCCTGGATAGAACTGCTTCTCTACTATAATTCATATCGGAGTTGGTAACTTTTCCCCAGCAAAAATCCCTAATCCTGCTTCCTTCAAGCTGACAGTTGAAACTATTGGGCAAGGATTATGTATTGCTTTTTTTTTGGAGCCAAACATTCTTAGTTTCTGAGGCCATTCTGTAAAGAATTTAGTTCCTCAACTGGTATGGTGGCATATACCTATAATCCTAATACTTGGAAAGTGGAGGCAGGAGGATCAGGAGTTCAGGGTCATCCTTGTGTTCTTAGTGAGTTTAAGACCAATTTGGTCTGTAGAAAAGAAAATAAAAGAGAAAAAAGAAAACAGAATTTAGGTTTTATTTTTCCCATCCTGATTATTCACCTGGGCAGAATCCAGCTTACAACATTAATTCCTCCTAGAAGGCTGGGGCATCTGTAAGAAATAGTGGGAGGACTTCATCCAGTCTTCTAGACTAGTCTAAGAAAATATCCCATTTAGGATTTAACAGTCATAAACAATGACTTTGAACATGCAGTCAACTACCTCAGTGTAGAGCAGAGCAGTTTGCTGACAAATGGAATGGAGAGAGTTCCAAAGGCTGAACTCTGTTCTCCCAATCTCCTCCCACCCTTCAGCCTCTGAACAGTCATATGGTAAGTGGCAACCAGATGCCATTGGATATTTTGATAAGATACAGTCCAGGCTGGAAGGAGGTGCTAGGATCTAATGAGGAAGTATCTTAGTTTCATTTATTATTGTGGTTTGAACTGGAAAGTCTCCCACAAGTTCATGTTTTGAACAATTATTCTATCGTGGAAGGTTGCTGAGCTTTCAGGAGGCAGAGCAGGAGCTAGCTAGCAGAAGTCACCGGAGGCAGGCCTTTGAAGGCTAGATACAGCCCTCGGTTCTGGCCACTCTCCACTTCCTGGTTCACTGTGATGTGAGTAGCCTCTGCCACACATTCTACCACCATGAACTCCAGCATGCTTTCCTTACCATGATGAAATCAGGAGCAAAATAAACCTTTCATTCCTTAACTTGTTTCTGTTTCTGTCAGGCATTTTGGTCACAGCAATACAAAAATAATAATAAAGAAAATGGGACCAGAGAAATGAGTTGCTGCTGTGATTAACCTGACCATATGGTTCTTAAACCTTTAGAAATGGTTTGCAAGAGGAATATGGAAGAGCTTAAAGGTGTGGACGCTAAGTAAGCTTAAAGTTTGGAAGATTATAGACTGCCAATAGAAATACAATGAAGACCCACAAGTTTTCAGATGGGAACAAGGTCTCTATTAAGTATTGGATTAGGCACCATGCAAGTTACATTGTGGCAAATAATTTGTTTATGTTTTGTCCATGTCCTGAAAATTTAAGTGAGGCTGAATTAGAAATTAATAGACTAAGTAACTTGTGGAGCAAATACAAGACAGCATAGCACCTAGGCTGTGGCACACTTACTGCTGGTTGCTTTTAGCAAAGTTTATAATGAGAACTGGGAGTAAAAAACAGAACGGATTTGAAAAACCTGCAGTTTGCCCAGGAAAAGAAATGTGAATATGGTTACAGTTGCAGACAAAGCAAGTAGGAAAGGTATCTCGAGGGAGGAATTCCATCCATTGAAGGCTTCAGGGAATAAAAAATATAACTCATTTGAAAGAATTTCCTTTGAAGACAGTGCGTAAAGAGAGTCTTTGGAATGCCCCGCTGGACAAGGGCCACATAGGTTAGTGTTTTCCTGCATTCAGTTAGGCAGACAGACACTCAGAAGATGCTGTAGCCATCATCCAGTGGGATCCGTTTACTACCTGAGCTGGCAGCAGAACCTATTGCATGATCCATGTAGTTCTAGTTTTTCAAGAACGCAGAATACCAGAGTCATGGGCTTATGGAGGCTTGCCCCAAATTTTTTGAGAAAAGTCTGTGAGGCCAGGCAATGTGTAGCAGAGCTGGATTCCCTGCAGAGTTCTAGAATGTCTGAAACTGTGACGCAGCAGCCTGAGCTGTAATGGAGACCCTGGGATGTTGGAGATGCTAGGAACATGGGATAACTGTTGAAGAAAACGACAAAGCACTGAATGGAGCTGGCCCAAGAGACCATTTGTACTATACCATGTGCAGGGCCATAGGGCCAAGGCCACCCAAGCCCTTTGGAGCTGAGATGATGCCACCACATACTCTGAGTACTAGACATGGACCTATTGGATTTAATGTCTTCTCTGCTAGATTTCGGTCCAGTTTTTCCTTGCAGTTCTCCTGTAACTCCCTTTAGGAATGGAAATGTTTGCCCTATGGCACTGTATAATGGAAGTATATAACTTTTTCATTTTCAAGGCTCACAGTTAAGGATTTGCTTTGAGTTTCAGAAGAGACTTTGAACTTTTTGGACTTTTCTTAACTGTTGGAACTTTTAGGAAGTTGGATTAAATGCAACATGCATTATGAGTTGGCCATGAATCTTTCAGAATGGATGTAATGGTTTGAATCTGAAGTGTCCCCCACAGGCTTCTTCAACACTTGTTCCCCAGTTGGTGGTACCATTTTGGGAGACCAAGTAATCTTCAGGAGGTACAGCCTTAGCTGGCAGGAATATGTAACCAGAGATGGACTTTCAAAGGTATGCTTGATCCCTGGTCCAGGCTACTCAGATTCCTATCCCACCACGTGATAGGCTTCTGCCACACACTCCTGCCTCCATGAACTGTCATGCCTTCCCTACCATGACAAACCCTCTGAAATCATGATCCAAAGCAAAGTTTTTCTTCCTTCTGTCAAGTACTTTGGTCACAATGACACAAAAGTAATCAATAACTTAGGAGAGCGGGAGAAGATAGGAGGTCTAGGGCTGGCAGGTTGGCTCAGTGGGTAAAGGTGCTTGTTGCAAGCCTCATGACCTAAGTTTGATCCCCCGGACCTACATGGTAGAAGAGAATTGACTCCTGCAGGGTGTTCTCAGACCTCTATATGTATGGCACACATATACAATAAAGAAATGTAATTTAAGAGAATCTTTTCAAAGACCTCTAAATCCTTATCAGAAATAACCTGTTGTTCCTGTAGTGTTACAGACTGGAGTGACAACTGGAATGACCACTAAAGTTTTGAAGTTATGTTTATTCAGAATCACCTATTACGTCTTTGAAGCAGTTGCTATCCTGTTCCTGACTGTCCAAGCTATGAATCCTAGTGTTTTATCTTAGATAAAATCTTAGGGTTGGTGAGATGGCTCAATGGGTAAAAGTTCCTGTCTCCAAGCCAGATGACCTGAACACACCCTGGAACACACATGGAGACAGTTGACTCCAAGTTGTGCTCAGACCCCTACATATGTGCAGAGGCAAACGTGTACTCACACACAAGCACAAAGATATGCAATAGAAAAAAAAAAAGTATTTTGTTTCTTAATAGTTCTAGCCCATTTTCTATTGCTATAACGTAATACTTGGGACTAGGATACTTTGTGAAAGTTGGAAAGGTTAGGGCCAGGTGTAGTGGCACGCACCTTTAATCCCAGCACTCAAGAGGCAAGAGGCAGGTGGATCTCTGAGATTGAGACCAGCTTGGTCTACATAGTAAGTTCCAGGCCAGCTGGGGGTACAAGGAGACCCTATCTCAAAAAATAAATAGAAGGAAATTTTAGTCTCACAGTTCTGGGGTGCTAGGAAATCCAAGATCAAGTGAGGGCCTTGTGCAGCCCCTTACCATGGTACAGGTTGGAAGAGGAAGGGAACTGAGCATGTGTAGAAGTTACAAACACAAGAAGCTGTCCCACTTTATAACCCATTCTTGGTTGCTAATCCAGTCCTGCAGGAATTAACCTGTATTAATCATCCATGAAGGATCTGACCCTATGATCCAAGCACTTCCCACTAGGCCCCACCTAGCAACACTGCTCCATCGAGGAATTAAGGCTCTAGTACAAGAACTCCTGGTGAACACTGTTAGGGTTCAGATCTACAGCAACCCCCAACACAGCAGGGCCTCATAGTTTTTCAGGCCCCCCGAGAATGCAGGAACTGAGTCAATGAGCACCCTGATCTTGGAAGACAAGATAAACAGACTCTACACTTCTTGACCCGATTTACAATTCATTGGCTCCTCGGGAAAACTTTAATGTAATCAAACAAACACCACAGAAACTATAGCAACTATAGGTAGCATGTAGGTAGGGTTTGGAAACAAGAGATGCAGAGGACCCAGGTTTGGTTCCCAGCACCCACATGGCAGCTCACAACCATCCGTAACTCATTTCAGGACATCTGGCACCTGCAGGCACTGACTGCACACATGTGGTGCACATACATGTAGGTAAAACACTCCTAAAATGAAAATAGAATCTTTAGAAATAGAATTCACTGGATTAATCTACAGATGAATGCTATGTTGTCTGCAATTTTATGCCTTAAGCTCAGACTTCTTATTGGAAGTCACCAGGTCTTAGCTTTAGGGCTGTAACTCCTTTAGTGGAGGGGCCTACTGATTAGATCTACTTTCATTCTTAACCATCAAAAATGACTGCTCATCAGTGACTTAACTGAAATTTTCTATCACTTTTGTTCCTAGTGATCACTACCTGTATAGTAATCACATGATCATGTGTAATATTCTGATGGTTTTATTAACAAGTATATAATACATATATTGCATACTGTATATAGTATATGAGGACTGTACAGTACAAATTTATGTTCACAGTTGGACATGACAAAATGTCATTACTGAATTCCCATTGGACTACAGAGTAGAAACAGAAGGTACATTAAACATTCACATCTTTAGTAAGAAAGATTACCAAAATGTTTCAGTATTTGCAAGTATACTAATGCATGCTAAAAACCTTTACCCATTCAGTCTTATTAGCTTATAAAATATATTACACTTTATTAAAAATTTCTGCATAGTTTATACAAGTATTAAAGTACTGTAAATGTAATAATCCTGCTATACTTGCAGGGATGGTTTAAGAGATGCTAAGCAGAAAGATTATTTTGACCCTCTAATACTAAGTACATCACAGGAAAAAAAAGTGCTAGTATTTGTAAAACAAGTTGTAGCCCTCGTTTAATGCATGTAAGATGGCTTTGTAAATGTATTACTTAGGTGAATTTTCACTCTTTAGAAACTGTTAACCTTGACCAAGAAGAGAATAAAGAAAACTCAAGTGACTTCATGTATGTCAGCAATTCCTTCAAGACAACTGTGTATTTTCAAACCAAATTACTTAAAAACCTTCGATCTCTAAGATTGTCTTTAAAACAATCTAATCAGGAATGATGTGCAGATATACAGTATCAGCAAAATAGTCTTTCAAATTCCACATTTGTGCAATACGGATAGTGCAGATGGGTGCTTAATAAAACATACATATACATATACATATTCCCTGTAATTCTGTTTCAAGGCTCTTGAAACTTCTGCGTGTTTAGCATCACCTTAGCTGAACAAAGCTTTGCTGGAAACATTCTCCAAACCAAGTGATTTGGACAGTTAAATGCCCTTTTAAGGATGTTGACTCACATTATAAAATGTGACAATAAGGATTCTGATTTAATTTTCGTAACTTCTCCAAGATGACACTTGAGCAGTAATTGAATAAACTCTGTCACAATTACATGGCACTGGACTTTAGGTTTACAGATCATTCTCATTAATTCAAAACACTGCAATTAAACTAACCATGACAGTAACATGGTATATCATTAAAATCACCTTTCAAGGGCTTCTTATCTTGTGTCTGAGGTCTGCCACGATAACAGCTAAAAATGACTAAAAGACTAAATTTCTCAACTACCATAGTAAAAAATATATATATAAAGAAAATTTGGTAAGGGCCAATTAACTAATGTATTATCAGACCAAGAATAGAGAATGGCTTCACTGGGTTACTTTTCTTTCAGAGTTAACATGGATCACTCTATTGAACTGTTAACATGACATAGGCAAGCAACACGGTAATGTAGCATAGTATTGTGAACAAAATTTAAATGGCATAGCAGGCATCAAATTTCACATGAACCCACAAAGCTACTACTCAGATGCATAGCTGATTCAAGGTTAATTCTGTCCTTTCTTGAACCCTTTCCCCTTCTAAGTAGGTTAGAACATACAACTGAAACAAACTTCCTTGTACAACAAACTAGATTCTGTGTGTTGCAGAACCCTTTCAAGACATGAACCTGCTGGCATGATGTGACTTACCACTGATCCCTACTTTTCCAAACCATTTCTACTCCTCAATTCATGTCTTAGTTGCAAACAAACAAACAAAAAAGCAATAGCCTCATCAGCGTGTTTTACTAGTCTGAACAGATTCTGCAGTGCTAAAAAGGGAAAGAAAAGGAACCCAAGTGCCAAGAGAACATTTCTTTGCATTTTTACCTCCATTTCCTTTCAGCTCGTTCACAGGGCTGAGCAGCCCTCACTGCGCAGTCCCTGCAACTTTTAACATAGTGCCATCAAAGTAAGCTCCCCACACATCTGCAAGCCTCCAGCACCACCCCTTCAATGATGTTTAAGAGCAATTAAGTAATGTATTCCTCCCACATTGTGGTGGGGATGAATCTTCAGGATTCTTCTCTCTTCCTCCTCCTCCATCCTTTGTGGGGAATGAAGGGGCCCCTGGTCATATGCAGCCATATTTGACCACCGTGCCCATTTTCTTCAAATTTATGGCCAAATGGCATTTCTATGTGTGAATAATTTTTCATTGGCATTTAGACTATGGTATTCAAAAGCCTGCTTTTGAAAAAAACTTCCCCCAATAATGGTGCTATTTATCATCAACATAAACACGAGTCATTCTTTTCAGTTTGTTCTAACAGGACACTTAACAGTAACAGGAACTGCTAGCTCTAGTAGAGACTTTTAGGAATCTTCAAGCTACATATATAAATCCCTGAACTGTGGTTTTCTCTTTTTCAAAAATCTGTTACCAAAATAAAGATCTGTGTGCTTCACACAAGTTATATTTACAAACAGTGTCACTCAGGTCTTGAATGAATCCCCTAAAGCTCAGCAGATGCTCACATCCACTGTGTGCCATAGCACAAATGACAGCCAGTTTGGCACTACACAGCCCACACAGAAAAATTCCATAGAAAAGCTATGTGACTAATTCAATATGGGAATGAATACAAGTACCACTCAACATTTTCCTGTTTGCAAAAATGCTCAAAGCAGGTTGGATAAAAGACCATTCATACTCTGACCCAAAAGATTTTTTCAACATTACTAGGCAAATATTGTCGATTCCTTACTCAAAGCTTTGTGATCCATACAAAGGATCTTTCGGGAACGGAGAAGGCAGCACAGATAACCCCAGAGGTATCTGTCTTGGCAGCACAGTTCTGCTCAGATGGAAACTCTCAACAAATGCACTGTACAACTAACCCATGTTGAGGACAATGCCCTCTGCGTCTGCCCCTCACTATGGGAGCCCACTGAATCCAGTAGCTTTGGCTCCTCTCCCAGTGGCCCCAAAGCCCGTCACACGAGCTTCAGGCACAAAGGACTTGACTTGAAGTGGTAATCCAGTCTGACAAGCAAGCGGTGGGAACGGCACTGGCAGAGCGGATTGACATCTTCCTGTGGCTCTTGTTAAGTTGTGAAAGGGACCACGTTCTTTTTGGTGTCGAACGTAAAACAGGATGGTGTGGCTGAGGTACGAAGGTCTCTGGCAAAGACTAGTAGGCTGGATACTGTATTTCTAATACATTTACTTTGACATTCTTTTTAGGAATACATGGAGAACCAACAAATTGCTTATGTTAATGTACATGTTCTCTTGTTCTCATGACATTAAACGTTATCTGTAAAAAGGGTTTGCTTAGCATCCCCGGAAAAGCGTTCACATTCTTTAGGTCTGACCCGTGGTAAGGAGAGGGAAGATTATAGAGTATCTACTACTGACCATATGGAAGTTTTGAATGATATAAATTCAGAGATTCAGACCAGCTGAATCAAAATTAAAATGTACAAGTAAAAAAATGAGTTAGACAATGGGCAGGAGGAAAGAGAGAGACAGAGAGAGGGAGAGCCAGGAAGGTGGGAGTCGTGACCAGGCAGGAGACAAGCGTTCAGACTAGCATGTGGCGTTTCCTGTGAAGGGCCAGATGGTCTGAGCGGGAGAAGCTGCGGTCACAGTCCGGGCACTGGAAAGGTTTGATTCCAGTATGTTTTCGGAAATGTCTTGTTAGTTCATCAGACCGAGCAAACTTCCATGTGCAGCCTTCCCAGGTACATTTGTAGGGTTTTTCTCCTGTAAAGGAAGAAAGAAGGTTAATTAAAAATTTTTTTTTCAAAGTGGGGTAGGATTTTAGAGTTCTTAAAGCAAACAGTAAGATCTACTGTTGGACTACCAACATCACTCAGTGTGTATCTGTAGATCTCCAACTCTTAGACTGCTTGGGAAGCTAAGTGATGTGTAGTAATTCCAAATTGAAAGCTTGTTGGATTTTCTTATGCTCTTCCTAGTTTCCTAAAAATAGTCTCTAGCAACTGAAACCCCTATTAGAGAATTCAATCTCATTTTTGCTTTAAACCCCTAAGTACTAAAAACATAGTAACTTTCCCCACCTGTCAGAAGCCAGGTTTCTACACCCCTTCCTGTAGGAAAACGATCACTTATGGGTGAGGACAGAAAACCCTTATGGGAAAAGGCCAGGGAGCACCAAGATGAAGGTCCTGACAGACAGCAGTTAACAGCAATCCCAATGCTTACAATCAAGTTGGGCATCCGTAATACAAAATCCAAAATACTCCAAAATCTGAACTCTTGTGAGCCTTGACATGACACTACAAGTAGAATATATTCTACCATGAGACTGTTTCATGCAAAAAATTATACAACACTGTTTAATGATTACTTTTAGGCTATGTGTCCAAGGTATGTATGAAACAAATTTTATGCTTGGACTTAGGTCTTAGCCTCAAGATACCTCATTACACTTGTGCAAGACATATCTCAACATCCCAGCAAACCTGAAACAGTTCTGGTCCCAAGCATTTCAGATAAGCGCTACTCTGCCTATAGCAAGCAATTACAAATTAACTCCTGTCTAGTGTCCCTTGTTTCTAGAAACCTTGGCCTAAGCTATTAGGATTTGCTACCCAGACCATACACATCTATATCTGAATACAAAGATTCCAGTATCTTTTAATTTTAGGCTACAGGTCAGCAAGCTCCACCCCTCAGGTCCCATTGACATCTCTCAGATGAGTTATGGGCTGACCTGGTGCTGCTTTCCTGGGGTTCCTCTCACACAGTCTCCTGCTCGGGACTCACTGAAAGCTTCACTGCCACAGGGACACTTCTCTTCCCTTTTCCATCCTAAACTCCACATTCCTCTTTGTGAAGACTCCCTATTGGACTTGGGAAAACAGTTACATTCTGAACGCTAGACAAAGAACACTCAGCTGCCTTCAGGAAGTGGGATCAACTGCACATTTTTTTCATCAATAGAATAATGTTTATATGACCTAGCAGGTCGATCTATGCTCACTACTGGCCAAGATGGAAGACAGCCGGAAACAAAATGGCCTAAAAGTTCTCAGTTTTAAAAGATAAGACACATTCAAGGCCTGTTTGGATGCTGTTTCTATGGATTGCTGTACACTTTGTTCTGCATAAAGAACTCTACTTTGTTACTAAAAATCTTTTTTAAAAAACTTTTTACAAAAACTTTATTGAGCATTTCATACATGCATATAAGGTGTTTTGCTCAAATCCATGCCCACTCCCTCCAACATTCCCTCCTCTGAAGAGCCCCATCACTTTTTCCTTTTTCTTTTCTTCTTCTTTCATTTATCTTTATGGGCTTTTGGCTACTCTAACATTCCCACTCTGAAGAGGTAACCCTAAAATCTTTTAAGGATTAGATACAAGCTCCAAGGCTACATTTCTTTGGGGTCTTTTTACCCTAACTGCCTAGCCAATTCCTACCTCCTATTCTTATCATGACATCCTCTGAAGGGGTTACCCAAATTGCCAATAGGGAATAGGGATACCAACCGCTCTGGCTTCTTTCATGCTGAACAGGGATGCAGGGTGAGGCAACTGGAGTACCCCTTCAGTGGGTCTATCTAAAAGACTCCCAAATTGCATAACTTTTGTCTCTAAGAGGAGAAGTTCTTGAATCATGAATGGGAAATGTGAAGGAGAAGTAAAGGCAAGAGTAATTAGCATTACAAGTTCTAGACAGGGAACTAGAAAAAAGTCAGAACAGGGCCATTTTCAAATAGAGAGATGCTTTTGGAAGCCCTTGTCAAGAAACTCCAAAGGACTCTAATATGAACATTTCAAAGTTACTAAAAATCTTATCTTAGAGGTTGGGGAAATAGCTTAGTTGGTAAAGTGCTTGCCTTGTGAGCTTGGGGACCCAAGTTCAGTCCTCAGAACCCATGTAAAAAAGCTGGCCATGTGGTGCACACTTGTAATCCCAGCATGGGGAAGGTAGAGATGGGGCTGACTAGCCAAGGTAGCCTAATGGGTGAGCTCCAGGTAAATGAGACCCTGTCTCAAAAAAAGGTAGGTGTCATTCCTGAGAGTGACACCTGAGGTTGTTCTCTGGCCTCCACACATACCCTCATCACATGTGTATGTACACATATGTATGCACATGTACACACACACAGTCTCATCATGGGAGAGAACTCCTGGGAAGGCCACCTTGACTTGACTGGAAGCGCACTTCCCTTGCCCTCTTGGCTATTTCCTTCCCCACGGGACAGACAAAGGGATGGAAGGGACCCAAGTGTGGATTACTTTGAATACAATTTAGTATCAAAGTGAATTGTTAAAAAAAAAGATTCTTCAGTGGCTCATGGAGACATCTGTAGTTGACTGTGGCCACTTTCAAGATACTTGGAGACTTGCATTATTCAGGCCAGCAACCCTTAGCCAAAATAGTTAGGACCAGAAATGTTTCAGATAGTTTCTCAGGTATTTGCATAGGGTTTGACCGGCTGAGCATCCCTGATCTGGAATAAAGTCCCAAACTTTCTGTCTCATGGGTGCTTACTTCAGTTTCTGGGGCTGGCAAGATGGGTCAGCAGGTAACTTGATTACGACAAAAGCCCGAAGACCAGAATTTAATCCCTACAACCCAAGGTAAAGGCGTAAGGAGGCAGGCACTCCACAGAGCTGACCTGTGACCTTCAAGCACTGTGCGTGTGTGCCCCCTTCCCAACAATGATAAATAAAATGAAAAATTCTTCCAGTCTCAGAGCGTTTTGGATTTCAGATTTTCAGATCAGAGATGCTCAAGTGCGATCTCCCACTAAAGGCTAGAACTGCTGGCTTGAACCATGCACGTGAGTCCTTTGAAGGCCAGCCCCAGGAGGCTGCTGCTCCTACCTGTATGTGTTCTTCTGTGTGCTTTCAAGTGGGAGCTCTTAGTGTACACTTTGTTACAGCCGTCATAGTCGCATCTGTGTATCCTCCGCTTCCTTTGGGTATCGGGGGATTCCACAGGTAGAGGCCTCTTCCCAGGTTGCACTATGACTGAGGGATGATTCCTGTGAAAGTCAAGGATAAAGGCAGAACACTGAGCAAAGGTGGGTCCTTTCTTCAGTCTACTAAAAAGCATTAACAACATTGGGCAAAACCAAACAAACAAAAACCCCAACAAAATTTTTAAAAAAAAAAAAAAAAAAAAAAAAAAAGAAAATTAGCTGATCAACCCACGAAGCACTGCTATATTCATTCAACAAACATGTAGCGAGCACCTACCATGAGCCAGGCACTGTGCTTGGCACCGGGACACAAAGATGAATAAAAACAGGGTTCCTGCCCTCGAGGAGCTCACACTCTAGGGGGAGACAGACATGGAGGTAAGTAATGACAGCAAGAAGGTTAGGTGCTATGCTAGAGGGAGTGCCATGTGCAGGAACTGGCTCTTTCCTGCTGTATGCAGCTGCCTATCTGTACAAATTAAGGTACCGTCTGAACACTTGATTTTTCCATAGGCAGCACTGACTTTCATTATTTTTTAAGGAAAATGCAAGCAGCCAAATTCCTCCTTCTTAGCAATCACACTGCAGGACAGATCCAAGTTCTATCTTCTCTCTCTCTTTTTTCAGAGTGCCTCCCTATAGCCCCAGCTGGCCTGGAACTCACTGTGTAGACCAGGCTGGCCTCACTCACAGAGATCCGCCTGCTTCTGCCTCCTGAGTGCTGGGATTAAAGGCCTGCGCCACTGCACTCGGCTTTCTGTGTTTTCTCTTAATGATTGTGCATTCACATTTAGTTTTCAAACCCTAGCTCTTCCAAAGAAAGCTTGTCACTGCTGTCATAAGCACAATCATTGCCACTGTGTTCTCATATGAAGAGCTCCAGCATGGTTGTTAGTGAGGTGAGGAAGGCTGGAACCCATGACACCAGCCCCCTGGGGATATGCTGGGTACCATCTCTACCTCGATTTCTCACACATTTGTCCAGCGGTAAGTTCTGCTCAACATCGTTACTACAGGTTATTTCCATCCCAGAAAAGAAGTCAAGAGAAAAGGCAGAAGGAGGAAGTGCGTAGTTTTGTCAGTTCTTTCCTTTTGACTGACGTGACACCGAAACTCTAATGTGCCCATTCCCTTTCCTAATGGCTAATTACTTGATACAAGTGTATGTAGCTGGCCTCCAACTGTAATGAAAGCTTTTTGACATTTGAATTTCTGGGTTCTTAAAAAAAAAAAAAAAAAAAAAAAAAAAGAGGGAATGGGTAAAAAGAATTTGGTAAGGGTAACCTCAAGTTTCTGAGATTAAATGAAATTTTAGCTCTGAAGAGCAAAGGACACCCTACAATGAATTTTTGAGTCTTAAAGAATGTGAATATGCACCCCTTGCCTCAGATGTGTTAAGAAGCAACTAGTAAGAGAATAAAGGTGGGCTACTGTAAGTGGCCTTCCTTACTCCTGTCAGTATTTTTAAGTTCTTGCCTTGATGCCTGGGAACAGGGTACAGACAGATGAACCAAGTCAGGTTCAGAGACATAGAAAAGTATGTATGAAACGGTGAAGTGGCAGGGCGAGGCGGACTTCCACCACACACGCAAAAATACAAGGAAAAGGGTTTTATTTTAGTATTTCAGAATCATTTACTTTTATTTTTTATGTACATGAGTATTTTGCTTGTATGTGTATGTATGTGTACCACTCTTATCCACAAAGGCCAGACAGTTGTGAGCTGCCGTGTGGGTGCTGGGAACCAAACCCGGGTCGTTCACAAGAATAGTCCAAGTGCTCTTAAAAGCTTGGGCCATTTCTTCAGTGTCAGGTTTTTATTTTTATTTAAGGTTGAAGTATTCATTTACAGTCCTTCAGTAAAAAGAAAGCTATATTTTTAGCTTTAGGAAATAAGGTGCCAGGGAAGAGATTTAGTGGTGAGCTATAACCTCTGTCTCTGGAATACAGGGAGCCTATGCCAGCTGACTTTAGAAATCTTGTCCCACAGCTGGAATCTGGGGATAGCTCATCATTTCACTGTGGTAGCTCTGACAGCTTTTCCCGGTGCCCAGCTCTATCACCGATGGCCTCTGTGACCCCCAAACCAGGGATACTTATTGTCTCTGTGCCCGTTTCCTCTGTGGAACAAGGATGCTAATGCTATCATCTGAGAAGGTTGTGAACAAGAACACTGTCTCAGATGTCTACTGTTAGTGATGCACATGAGGAACCTGAGAACAGCATGTGTGCCTGAGGCCAAATGACTAACTGGTAGCTGCTAATACCCAAGGTTTTGAAGCCCTTCCTCCACTTGCACCTTATTTACAGCTGTCCGGTTTCATATGGAGCCACTGTATGGAATCAAGCTAATTATCTACCAGGAAGGGTAACAGCCTGGTGATGGTAGTTCAGGCTGAGATCAGCCATCCAGGGTCTTGGGATCCCATACTTCTTGGTCATTTTTAAAGAGATCATTTGGGATCAGAATGGTTAGACTAGCTATTCTAGATCAGATTCCTGGTTATTGTTTTGAGTTAAACTGGCTCTTCTTAATTCTGTTCCAACTCTCTCAGAGGGAAATCTGATTCTTAAGCTTTCTGTTCTAAATACAGCTCCATACGTGTAAACATATACCAAGTGGTATTTGATATACCTTTGAGTGCATTTAAAAAATGATCCTAAAGCTCTAACTCTAGGATCAAGCAAATGGATTTGCAAGCTGCTAAGCCTACCTCTGGGCAGGAAATGTTTCAAAGGCTAGTGTTGCTGGGTGCCTGCCTCACTCCAACAGTGCGAGGCACTTGGCTTCAAGTGATTCTTTCCTGGCTAGATGGTTTCCTATGTGGGCTGCTACTGGGCCCACTCCAAGACATGACTTAATCCCATCTGTGAGAGAATTACTTAAAGAGTACATGTCCCAGTTGTGGCTAATCTGCAGAATTTTTGAGAAGAAAAATGTATCTTAGGTCAGCATTAAAATAAGCACATTACTCATTAAGCATTTAAGAGCCACAGGCTGTGAGATCACTAAAGGAATATTACTTAAAACAGAAAAAAATATTTCTTTTTTTTTTAAGGCAAGGTCTCATGTAGCCCGGGTTGGCCTGAATGCCCAATCTTCTTGCCTCCACACCCAAGTGCTGGGATTACAGGTGTGTACTACCATACCTGGCTGAAAAAAGTGTTTTCTCTTTGAGCAGTATTTAAAGACTAGGAGACTTAACTTCAAATATTCTTTTAAAATGTTTTACATTTTAATTTGTAACTCAGACACCAGGCTAACACTATGCCACAATCAGTCAGCTATAATAGACAAGGCAGGGAGAAAACCCATGGAGATGCAGGAGCTCAAAGCAGATCCCCCAGATCAACAGCGTGAGTGCGTGCATGTTATTTATTTAACATCCTCACTCATCAGTTCACTATTCGCTCTGAATAAAATGACTCATTTGAAAATACTTGGAACTGGGCATGATGGTGCATGCCTGCAATCCTGGCACTCAGAAGGCTGAGGCAGGAGGGTTGGGAGTATGAGATACGCCTGGATTCTTATCAGGACTCTGTCTTAACAAAATTGTAGCCTGGGAGTTTCTTTTAGGGGGAAGCACTATGCAACTGTGGAAAGTAAAGCACAACTCCAAGATGCTTTCCCTGATGCTCAGCTGGGGAGGAAGATTTACCCTTTCTTCATGTTCAGGACTGTATGACATCACCCCTACACCAAAAGAAAGAGCTCAGTGCTGTGGTAAGTTAATACTTGAGCCACTAGAAAGGTACTGTGCAAGCTGAATGTGGGTATGAGTAGTCTCCAGAAAATGGCTGCTCTAAAAACCAGAGAGCTCACTCTACCACAGAGATGTGTGATAAGAGGGGAAGATAAACCGGAAAGGTGGGCAAAACATTTGTTCAACTTGGAGAAAAGGCAATGTGAGAGGGAGATGATAGGAGGGATCCTGAGGTGGCAACGGCTGTGGCTTTGAACCCGGAAGTGGACCACTGAACCCAATGCAGAAGCACGAAGACAACACAACAATAATCACAATCGATAACAACAAAAGTGGGCAGCATGAGTAAGGGGCTAGCCCACGGTCCCACATATGTTGCAGTATGCCGCTGGGGTGCAAAGGCCATCTTCTCAGATACAGCTAATAGTCTCCAAGGAAACCACTGGGAGAGTTCAAGTACATCCCTAGGCCCATCCTAGGAATGCTATGATGTAGCCCATGTGTGGTACCAGCCTGTTACAGCACATGCTCAGATGTTGGCCAAGGCACTGCAGCCTGGATACAGTTTTGCAAGAGAGGAAAATCTCTCTGGGCAGGTATGATTCAAAACTCAAGATAAAGGTTTCTTTCAGTACTAAGCTTCTCTGACTGCATAGGCAACCTTCTGTTGCCAGTCTGAAGATTTGAGTTAAAACACCTTCATTAATTAGATATACTATACTGCATTAGAAGTGACAACTAGCGGGGCTGGGGTGGCGGAGCCCCTGGGGGATGGATGGATTCTGTGTGTCACATGAAAACTTCCAGGTCCAAGTTGATGTGAACACCAAATCCAATCTGCACGAGAAAACTATGTATTCTTGAATCCAGGAAGGACAAGAAAACAAACGAGCAAAAAAAGATTCACATGGTCACCATAGGTGATCAGTTTGCTGAAGTTGATATAACTGTTGGAGATGCTGTCCATGTAACAAAGGCAGCTTGTTTTTGGAGATTCTCTCAACCACTGGGACTGAGCCACCACTCGGTGGGTGCCACACACTACAGGACATTCCTGGTCATCCATAGCACATCACATGCTTGCAATTCTGTGCTCCGTTCCAGGTCCCCAGATGCATGCTACTATGTAAACGTCAGGTACACCTAAGTATACTTACTCTTGCAACAATGCTTGCGGGGGGGACACTGAGTTCATTAAAGGGGGTGACATTTCTTCAGGATAATAGTCTGTCCTCTGTGGTTCAATCCCAGGTTCTATTTTAATTTTTTTCTGTAATATGGGCTTCTCATATGATTCAATTACAGGTACTAAAAAATAAAAATAGAAAAATCATTCTATATACAACTGATCAATTCCAGCTTTTAAAAGCTCACTGCACAGCTTCTAGCTACAACACTGATATCAGAATATTTCTTCATCTTCGGCAAGATTATAGTAGGACTCAATGAGGGATTCCTATTTCTCTTGAAGTAAATACAGGCCCTGGACTTCAAAAAGACTCTTCCTTACAAACTGGGCTCTTCCCATGGTCCTCTGTGTCTACTGGCTGGGAAACAGGTGGCTTTTAATAGCCATTATATAGCAGCATGACCATGCTGATACTTAGTAAATCAAAGCAAAAAATTATATTGTGGAAGTGACTAATTCTTGGGATCTCTTCCAATATCAACACTTCAAAACAATAACAACAACAAAAAAAAAGGCGTGCCTTGGGCAGGCAAGTATTTCCTTTTGAGGATGCAATAGCTCTGTCTTGTATCCTCACCAGACTTCAGGGGGAGACCCAGTATGCTAAGCAGGTACCCAAGACTGGAGGCAGAGCAGAATTTACCTTGCATGCTACTGTTTGAATTTTCCATCTCCTCCGACAAGGAGACCATGAGTGGCTGCTGGAGGTGGCTGGTGTACATAAAGGGAACGGGCTGCACCACGACAGGTTGGATGACAGGCAGGATGCCCGGGCTCCGGATTCCGTGCCGGGAGAGGGCAGCAGCCATCACAGGGGGCATGGACAGTGGCACACCGAAGGGTTGCACACCCGGGGAAGGGGGCGAGTATTTCTTAATGGGTGGGCTGGAAGAAGGCATGCTCAACCCAGGTGACGCTCTCCGGTGTGATGGGAACTTCAGGGAGGAAGGAGAATTGCCAGCCGAGGGTGGGGAGCCCCGCTTGTTCACAGTGAGGTCCACTGGTTCCATCTGTATTCCAGGCGAAAGGCCTTCTGGGGTCTGAAAGAACTTATCTGGTAACTGTGTAGAGTAAATGACCCCATATTTGTTGGGCTTCATCGATTCCATATAATTCGATGGGTAGGACTGTTGGAAAGGAGGAAAGAGAAAGAAAAGTGTGATGAGACATATTTTAGATCTAGAGATATACTTGATCCCCAGAGATACAAGAGAAATGACCTAGCAAATGCTAGAATTGAGGCCCATGTGGTTACTAGGTCACAGGGAAAACCCAAAATCGAATTCTCTAATTTTCACATCCATCATGAAAGGTGCTACCTGGCAAGGTTCTAAAGCAGTCTGTATCACCAAAGTCTTCATCATTGAGTCAGTACTGGAGATTACCAAGAACTGGCCAAACCATGTAACACTGCTGCTTTTCTGATGCCATTTTTGATTCGTAGGAAAGATCTCTAGCTTGGTATTGTTAACCTTGACAGGACATACACATAGGCATGAGCCTGCGTGTCATCAGGAGAAAGGAGGCTGCAGGAGCCTGGAGAGCTTGCTCACATGTCCTCCTTGGGCCTCCTCATTCGGAAATACTCTCCCTTCCCTGGGCACGCAGGGCTTCAGCATGCTGCAGTCCATACTGACCCCTCCCTGGATGAACTCTGGAGGCCACTATCTAGTTCCTCGTGGTACAGCCTGTCCCCTTTCTCCACACTAGCCACCTCCACCAGCCATTCATTATGTAGAGGCTTTGTCTCTATGGTGCCAACCAACCTGGCTTACCTGGGCTGTCTTGGTTTCATCACCCAAACTCCCACCCCCCCCCAAACTACTTAAGTCTCAGACAAACAAGGACGGCCAGTGACCCTCCTCACCTATGTCCCAAAAGCTACCCTTCCTGGGGCAACTGTCCCTGGCCTCAACCTTTATGATTTGGAGGCCATGCCAACTCATGATATAACAAGGAAAACCCACCAATAGGGCCTTATAAAATTAAACACCCCAATGTACTATTCATTTCTGAGCTTCCCTAGCTATGGTTTTAACTGGGATCACACCCTTTCTTCCCTGGGCCAGGCAGGCTGAATTTCCACCTGGCTATAATTGGAATTATTTGCCCTTTTAAAGGTTCCACATGCTCAGTCTCTCTCACGCTGGACCTGCTGAACAACAAAGTGTCCAGGAATAGGGGACCAGGAAGTGAGACTTCTTGTCACCTGACTGTCTTTATCTGGTTCTGATGTCACTGTTTTAGCCTTAAGATTATGTGCCATTTTCTTCTGCCCTTCTTTATCTGGATCATTATTGCCTATGCAACCGAGTGACTTCTGCAGGACAGTGCATACCTCTCCGGGGGAACCCACAAAACTGCTGGGGGAACGCACAAAGCTTACTGACAGAACATAGGGGATGCACACTACCTTTAAAACAGAGATGGGCTTGCTTACATTTTGAGAAAAATTGCATTTTTTAATAGTACAAAATTCTCCTTTAAATTTATTATGTCACCAAAGCAATTCTTACCAAAAGTGGCAAGAAAAATGATGAAACATTAAAGTCCAGGTGCTTTGAGAGTGGGAAATTTGTCAGTCAGGGTGGTACTGAGTATCTCCATTCTGGGGGTTGTTAGGTTAAAATGTAAAATGGATGCAACGAGACAACCTATGTAAGTATAACTGAATGTGTGACATACTGGGTTGTACTCACTCCCTTTCTGGTCCTTACTCATGAGATGTACTCTGTGGGTTATGTATAAGTTCACAGTGCACCCAAGTTTGCCTGAGAACCTGGTTGGGTGTACAGATTGAGCGGCTAGGTAAGAGGCAGCCCAACAGGACACAGACAAGCTTTCTGGTAAAGTTCTAATTTACGGAGATTAAGAACAAAATAATAATAAAAGATGGAAAAGCATTCTGACTATTGATATCTAACTACGGCTTAGGAACAAAGACACAAAGGAATAAAATCAGAAAAACAAAACAAAACACCAT